CGGAGCAAATCCATCTGGCGGAGTCAGGTTAACAGTATCCACCAATAATTTCCAATTTTTTCCCCCTTTCTGCTCATTTACCTGAGCCCAAGGTAGCAGAAGGTGTGTGCAGCTAACTGTGTTTTTTCCCACCTCTCGGTGTAACATCATCGGATTTCACTGACATACATAGTAGCTACGTGGTTGGAGGAGAGACACACAGCAACAGATATATATACAAGTTAGTATTGTAATGCAAGAAGTTTAAATGTTGCTCCTTTTTACTATAAAAGCTGGGCTTCTCAGAGGACCATGACTCCCAGTTACAGCTTAAAATAAACATGTTTTCCTATTGTGCAGACAGAATCAGACTGCAAAGCTTCTACATATCTTTAAATTTTGTTTCTGGAATCAATATATAAGTAAAGAGGTTCATTAATCTTTTTAAACAGAGCACAGAGAGAAGTAGGGAGAGCTGCAGATTTAAGATGAAACACACGCAATAAAATATATTTCCAAGTTTACAAGAAAAAAATAGGCCATGCTATATTTAAAATGAAACATATCCATATTTTTCTGCATGGATGGAATTGAAATTGTACTTCTAGGGAAGCATGATATATCGATTTTGGCATCAAATCGGCTGTTATTCATTATTTTTTTAATATACATTAATGTTTTTGGGCCCTATATATATAATGCATTAAAAGGCATCTCTCTAACTATTTATAAATATAAATATTAGTGTTTTATGAATATATAGATATATATATAATGCATTAAAAGGCATCTCTCTAACTATTTATAAATATAAATATTAGTGTTTTATGATTCTCTTGTGTTCTCAACAACACACCAACTTTCATTACAAAGGTACACCCTCTACCTAAAGGATGCAGGCTACTTTCTTTCTCACTGTTTCTGCATTTGAATCTCATTTGATTGACAAATCCGTAGTTCAATTTCCTCCTTTCCCCACTAGATGGCAGCATCTTATTTCTTCTCTTATTTAAAGCCCAGGCCATGCTCTGCTGAGAACAAAAGCAGCCTGGCGTGCCACTTCATGTTTCACAACTTTCGTTTTCATGCTCAGCAGTGCTTTGGTACAGTAATACTGAATTAAAGTGAACAGACTTCACTTTGTTGCCAGCATTGATGTTTTTTTGTTGCTCTTCTTGTTCAATAAACAGCGCCTCTGCAGTGCAGTTTAAGGAAACAGTGGTATAAGAGGTCATTTCCTGTTGTTAAATATAGTCATGCAGACTTTTTTTTTCACACTGAACAGGAATTTACAGTTTTTCTCCCCCTCTCTGCTTTTGTAGGGTCAGAAACGCCACTCTACAGATGCTGGGGTCCAAACAGAACCAGCGACTGCTGCTTCAACATCTGAGAAAACCAAATGAGCCCTTTTAAGTTTCCCTGTACAGATCCCCCACCCCTCCTCCTCCCTGTCTTTCTAGCTATACTCTGTCTTCATGTCTTGGTCATATTTCACCACCTCAATTCCTTTTTTTTTTTTAGATGTTGCATTTTAAAGAGAAATGCTTTCAGAAGGATTCTGGAAAGATTAGCACGGTGATAGATAAACAATAGGAGAAACACTGACTATAAGAAGCCATGAGTTAAAATGACAAGTTGTCATTTAAACAAAAAGAAAAATATTTCATAACTTTTTCCACTTTTACCACCAGCTGGAAGCTGCACAGCTCTGGTTAACAAAGCATATATATATATATAAACAGAACCTAATTATTGGGTTAAACACCTTCTTTCCAACTTGGTCTGTGTAACCACCACATTCAGACTCAGTATAAGTCAGTACATGCCTTCCATCTCTTAACATGCCTTTGGTTAACCCCAGATAAAGTTCAGCTCCTCTTTGTCACAGTTTACAGTACCAGCAATGCTTTCCACAGAGTTTCCAAAGAGTTTCCAAAGCATCAAGGGCATATTTTTGGGAGAAGGGTGCAAAATGCATTTGATATAGTGAAAACCGTTCACTCATAGTGTCCCTGGACACATTGGGTCCTTCATCGTTATCTCCTACAGGTTCATAGCAACAGGACTGGAGCTACTGCCGTACATGTGACAGCAATCTCCCATGTTCCTCATATGATAGGGCCTGATATTTTTATTTAAGAAAAACCTCCACGCCTGAGCTAAATCTTCCATGTATATGCATCTATTTTTGACTAATATGGAGGCTTAAGGGGGACAAAAAGATGTCAGTTTGCTGTGAGGTAAATAAATGTACCATTAAATAATGAAATGCATATGTAGCATTTGATAAGCACATAATTTAACAATAAAATGTACCATTAAATTATGAAATGTAAAGTTAAATAACTAAATTTAGCTTATAAATGATGGCATTAGCCTTGAAATAAATAAATAATAAGTAATAACAATATATATGGAGATTAATTTATGAAAAATCACATTTAATATTATTTTTATACATTTTCTGTATTGTAGGAAGTGTCATAGATCATAACATAGAAGGGAAGTGAAATTCCATTCTACAATTTTCAATTTTCCAAACCCTCCTTCCCATCTAACCCAACCCCATCAGAGGATTAATGCCTATTTTATTCCAGAAATGTAGACAGAAAAAGAATATAAATAGAACAAAAACTAAACATAGAACACAGATAGGATAATTAAATGTGCACCGAGCAGAAGTGACTACAAAATAAAAGTATAAATAAAAACCATTAGCCATAAATGTTGGTTTAAAGATTGGTTTAAATTTTTAATGTCATGATTTCAAAAGTATATTAATTTATTTAATTTTACATTTCATTAATAATAAATTAAGTTGATTAATGAAATATTAAATAAATTAATGAAAAATGTAATGGTACAGCTATTTATCTAATTTTACATTTAATTATTTCATGGTACTTTTTTTATTCAATAAAACATTTACACCTATTTATTCCATGCTATATTTATCTGATTTATTTTGTCTTCTTTAACCCTCCATAATATAAATATATTATTATTCTGCATAAGATACACATGCCATGGGGTTGATAGGGGCAGAGACTTAAAACAATCTCCTTCTTCCCCCATTAAGCAAAAAAACCTTATTCTGAAAAAAGCACAGGTTATTTTTTTATATCGGCATATTGACATTAATCACTAATTGATGTAATTCTGTTTTCAGTTTATGGTCAATATAGGGGGGAAAAAGAATATGGAAAAAAGAAAAAAGGAATTCCCGGTAGTTGAGAAATTCAACCAGATATGATCACTGCTGCCACCCTCTGGTTTAGTGGGGAACTGCTGGTTCTGGTGGTGGTGAAGTATGTTCCTAAAGCCAGGCAAACACTGTGCGATTTTTTTTTTTTTGCACGCAGCTACAGTTCATAATGTATGTTATCACACTATGCAACACGACGCTCTGAAGCGATCTATCTGCTCAGACTGTACGTCTAAAAACCACGCTGGACTCAGCTCCGCAGTTAGATGGCGCTACTCTGACTCGTCTATCCTGCAGCCAAACGAGTAGGAGAGGAATATGAAGCTCATTAAAGTGAAACGCGCTGCCTTGGCTATTTGTACAATTTTGTGCAGAAAGCACTAAAACGAAAAGATGATGACGTATTTGGACAAAGACATGGCTGAGCAAACGTGGCTACTACAATCTGTCAATTTTACAGAAAGAACTCCATTTCAGTCATTGCATCACCGCCGTGCTTCTGTGTTTTTATCTGAGAGGAAGAAGAAGAATCCTTGTTTGCCAACTGAGCGATTTGCCCACGACGCTCATGATTCCTGATCGGGACGTGGTCGCGAGAGGCTGATCGCCCCTTGCTACCCCCCCATTATATACGACACACAACTGCACTGCAAAAAACATCTAGAAATAAGTAAAAAATGTCTTAAATTAA